ATAAAAATTTTAAATATGTAATAACTTAATTAAAAGCACAGCTTAGTTTAAGATTTCTATAGGATTTTAAACCGATTTTATTGTTTAATAAAATTATATTTAAAATTATTAAGATAAGAAAACGATCTTTTTCCATGTCACTAACATCATTTAGCGCAGTCATAAATAGTTCTCAAAGAGAATTTATATTTCTTATTTCGGATATATGTCGTCTTAGAAAATTTGTAAATTATTGTCCTTAAAAAGTTTTATATTTGAGAAAGTACAACTATTATAATATTATATTAATATATAACTACTTAGTAATAGAAACGTATTAATAGGAGATTCAAACAAAAAATAATGTTTGCATATATGTACAGTGGGCATAGGTGTATGATTAATGTTTTAACTAATTCTCAAAATTTGAAGATTAGAATTCCCCAAGCTCATATGTTATAAGTAAAAATTTTCTTTAGTTTAACATTTTGTAATGTAAGCTCTACCTACATATTAAGAAATAAATAGACTTCGCCGGGCAACATCCTTGTATGGGCAAAATATAATATAACGGTTAGGTTAGGTTCCGGTTGCCACCCTATATAATTATTTCATACTTATTTACTATAAAGTTTCGATGTCCACAGTCTAATGTTGATGTTATTGACACGATTTATTAAAAGGTCTTTTATTCAGTGCCAGAATTTTACAAAAACAACTAATTCTCGCAATCCATAATTCTTTACTATATTTAAAATCTGCGGTTATTGAGAAGCAAATTTGTTAATGTAGGCATTTCTCCCAGCACTTTCCTTCATTTCTTTTTAGGATCCACAGGGACGTCCTTTAGTTTCAAACACTTACAACTCTTAATTTATTACAAAATTTAAGTAAAAGTAAGAAGCTTCTTAAGCGGTTCGGTTTGATACATTTACTTTCTTCTCAAATAACATTTTTCATAATTTTATCAGCTTTTTTTCGCTATTTAAAGTAACAACTATAAATAGTAGATGGCACTTTGTAATCCATGTCAGAAATTATTCAAAACAATCTGTAATAATTTTTACTTTCAATTAAACTCTTGTTTTTGAAAAAAAGAGCTGTTTTGCATGCTCTCAGTTTCTTTTAGATTTACAATTCATAGACGAAACATATTTAGAATTGATTTTTTATTTTTTGTGCACATGCAAATTTAGTTCAATGGTAGGTTCTTTAACGACGTTTTGCGAGCCGTGAGTACAATGGTTCACACTCAATCATGCGTACACCTTCATACGTGCATACTGATACATAACTGTTTTTCATTTTGTAAATAGAAATAATATATGAACACTAAATGTAAATTTTGTAGTAACAAAATTATATTTAATTATGCTATAAAGACTAAAGGGTCTCTTTAACATTAAGGGGATTACTATGCACATATTAAACTAAGTTTTATTTAAAACTTGAAATTCTGGAGTCTAGAAAGAGGTTAAAAATAAAGTAATTAAATAACAAATATTTATTATTATTATATACTAGAAGACCTGGCGAAGAAATGTCTATTACGTTTTTTTAATTTATATTTTTGGAGTTTACCTGTAAGCCATAAATCTCCGTGTTTTGAAGTGCGACAAAATGATTGACATATTAGTTAGTTGCCAAATCTAATGTCAAAAAAAAATTGTATGGGAAATAGAAAAGTATGGGAAATGATGGGAAATAATGGGAAAGTATGGGAAATGATTTTCCCAGTAATTACTCAATTTTTTTCAGCTTTTATACCTTCCCTGAACCCTCACGAACATTTCAAGACTAAGATAAGATAAATCCGTTCAGCTGTTCTCGAGTTTTAGCGAGTGTAAGGAACAGCAATCCATTTTTATATATATAGAAGATAATAGTATATTGCGAAAGTTGTGAATTAAATAACTCTTACAAAATTCTTATTTTCCTCGTATATAAATTTAGCAATACCTAAATATATTTTATTAAATAAAATAGAAATATTTTTGTGTAAGAATTCAGTATTCGACAGCTTCTTCTGACTTATTACATGTATACACGTGTCTAGAACATTTTAAGGACATGATAGGCGTATAAAAAATTGTCAAAAATATCTAATCGAATTGACATGAAAGACTGTCTACGAAGTAAGTTATTAAGCTTTTAAAGACACTATATGTACGTGAATAAATATTAATATTTTTTATCCATATTTGTATACGATACTGTTCCCTGTTTAATTTTCATGACAGTTCTTTCAGCATTTTGATAAGTTCATAAAATTTTCAGAACGATCAGATTAAATAATCAATTTTATGTTGAAAACATTGAGTACAACAGTAATCTAATTGGAGAGTCTTGAGTGTAAGTCAAATGACTATATTTCTCCTTTTTCGAAAACCATAATTGGTCACAGATTTAGATTTCAGCCGAAAATTAAACATATTTAAAGTGCAATTAAAAAGTATAACTATATAGACGTAAGTAAGCTTATAAGGATTCTTAAAATTAAAAGTAATTAACACCTATATTTTAATTAAATAAATAGGCCTTGTATAAAAGGAATTAAAAATTTATACAAAAAGATTATACATTTTAAAACCGTTCGTTTTCTTAGAAATTATAAATTAACATAATATTAAATCCATTCAACAGTGGCAGTCTACACACTGAACTGTTATATGTACATGAAAGCCGCAAGCAAACCATAACGCTCCTGACACGTAAGGCTATTTATATATTATTCCTATATTCTCAGTTCACTTATTATGTTAATTTTTTATAAAATATACTTAGACATCTCACTGAATGTATGTTGTTTCCTAGTTATTTATTAAATCATATTTTTATTATTATTTCTCTCGGTTCTTTTGTCAGTGTCAGATTTTGACATGAGATTATTTAATAGTTCCTCGAACATCAAAAGGTGACTACTTTTTTTAAGACAGTTGTAATGGTGAAAAGCAAAAATATCTTTATAAGACAGAAAACAGTAAATTAGAATGCCTAAATAAGATAAAAATATTTTCTTTAAAAAAAGAGAGGAAAGTAAATTAATTTGCTAAATTCAGTCAGTGAAAAATTCATTTGTTAACTTTTATTATATAAGACGAGATTATTTTTTTTCCTAGAATATTTAAATGTAATATCGTTCAATGTCAATACAGCGTTACTTTAATCAAGCAAAATGGTCTCTTGAGCTTATATTAAATTTTTCGAAGCTGAAAACTAAATTTCACTAAATTAACAGGACAATATTTTTTAATGGACAGATAGTAATTGATCTTGCAATCCTCCTTTTTTCAGACAATTTATTTTAGTAAAGTATAAAGTATGAAGTAAGATGTATAGTATAAAGGTAGTATTGAGGCGTTTTATAATAGAATCAGTATGCATCCAATAAATAGAGCTTTGTCTTCTAATTAAAACCATGTATGTTTTGTGAATGTGAATGGAATATTACGTTACCCCAATACGTGCTTGCAAATTATTCCATATTAGATGATAATATATAAATAACTCTTTAATTCTTTTAATATTTAGTGAAAAAGGAATAATAGATATAATAAATAGATATTCTTCAAATTTTATTCTTCGTTTAGTTATGTAGGCAATATAAGTTTGTTAAATGTATTGTGTTTCTTGTAATAATCTTTTGTCTCAAATTAATGTAATCATTTACCAAAATATTAATTAATAATGTTCAATAGTCAAATTTAAAACACTTACCCGTATAAAATGAATCTAACTTCTCATTCCCAAATATGTATTTACTTAAACTACATGTTAATTAATGCGACTTCATACAATCACTTGAGACAGAAGAGGTAACGGGAGCTCATAAATACCTTTTAAATAATATTGTTTTTTTTTTTCATGGCAATAGGGAGCAACCGAGCAGACGGCCTACTTGATGGTAGGTAGGTACCGTCGCCCATGGACATCTGCAACGTAGATTTGCGGATATGTTGCCGCCCTTGATTGGGGAAAGGGAGAGGAAAAGGTGGGAAAGGAAGGGAAAGGACAGGGTAGGAAAAGGGAAAGGGCACACGGCTCTCTCACTCACCGGGCGAAACGCTACCATTAAAGACTACTTTACGCCGATCTTCTGTGATAGGGTGGTACTTCCCCGGTCGAGCCATCCCATGTTCGAGCTGTAGTTACTTAACACCTCGAGAATAGAATAGAGTTTTAATAGTGTCTTTTACAATCACCAGCATGTTTGTTTCAAATGCTTTGCTTATTACTCAAACGATATAACTTACACGACACTGTTTTATTTTATTTTTTTTTTTGATGTCGCAGGGAAACTCTTTTTACGAGCCGTCCAACCGGCCTTGGTGGGGCCGGAAGGGATGTGTGAGGTTCGGCCTGGGCAGGTCCCTACTCACTAAAACCACTGCGAAAGCCATCGGCCGCTATGTCGGTGTACCCCGGATCTGTCAGCGACAGGGTACACCAGCGACTGGCCGGTCCTGGCAAAGACCGGACTTACTCCCTCGGAGAATGAGGGCGATCCCGGTAATTAGGACCACCCCGACGACGGCGGGCTTTCAATAGGGCCGGGTTACCACGCCGACCCCAGCCCGGAACACAGGGGTGCTATTGGAGGCGTTAGAATTGCCTCCGTCGCACCCCCGTACGTTGCCTGCGGGGGGAGGGAGCATCAGCCGCCCTCTCCCTTTCCCGCTCAGATGCCTCCTTCGTGGACATGACCGTCTCAGGAAGGAGGACACCGCCAGCCAGGACCTATCACTCTCGAGCATCTTCTCCACGAAACTCGAAAGCGACAGGTCCACTCCGCCGAGAGCCGCCACAAGGTCTTGCCGCTGCGCAGCTCATCTCGGGCACACTTCGAGGGTGTGCTGGGCCGAGTCCCTGTTTTATTTAATTCAATATATAACAACAAACAAGAACACTATGCAAGGATAGTAATCCTAGTATAGTAGTAGTAACACACGTATATGTTGTATTCCAAGGATGTTATATACGTTATACTGTACGTACATGTTTTATTGCAGGGACTTGCTTACCGCGTAAGACAGATTGACTGCCCCCCAGTTCAGTTACCGTTTCAGCACCAATAACACCCAATTTCATTAGAATTTACCCTTTAATCAAATCAAAACTTTTATGCTATAAAACTGCACTAATAATAAAATGTTAATATTTGGAACTTGAATAAGATATCTTCATAAAAATATTTTTAATTTATTCATTTTGGCAAAACATGTTATTAGTTTATGTACCTTCACTACACCTTTATTTATTTTTTTAATCTTAATACATAAGGACAACGATGCAGCCCACGGGAAATACTTGATACTTTGAACGTCATATGTAATTCAATTTCTGTTAGTGATTTATTGGTAAGTAAGAGTCATGATTGCTTCTTTTTGAAAGAGTTATAAACACTATGTAGTAGAAGTTCTCATAAATTGAAACAGTATTTTTAAGGAATATCTATACTAATATTATAAAGCTGAAGAGTTTGTTTGTTTGTTGGTTTGTTTGTTTGTTTGTTTGAAAGCGCTAATCTCCGAAAGTACTGGTTCGAATTGAATAATTCTTTTTGTATTGGATAGTCCAGTTATCGAGGAAGGCTGTAGGCTATATAACATCACGCTACGACCAATAAGAGCAAAGATATAGTGGTAAATGTGTAAAAAACGGGAGAAATTATTTCATCTTTGAAGCCTTCCGTTGCGTGCGCCGTGAAAACGGTTCAAGATACACAAAAAATATGTATTAAAGAATAATAGCTCTTTTGATGATCTAAAAACCAGTCCGCGACAGTATATGTCTATCTTTAAAGATTAACTCACAAAAACCGTTTTTATGGTACCTAATTTTGTCGAAATAATTTGTTTAAGTTGTATCTAAATAATAATATTAATCTTTATTCATATAAACAAATAAATATGTTGTTGGTTAAGAGTACTTCATTATTAATAAAAAAAAAGATAGGTTTCATCCTGAAAATTCTATGGGAACTCGACCATTCCGAAAACCTCGCAAGAACGGGAACTATGTGGGAAGAACCAAAAATCTGTCGGAAGTAACTATTCCACGCGGACGAAGCCGCGGCAAAAGCTAGTATTTATATAAACTAAAGAGTTAAGTCTATTAAGGTGACAGCTACATAATGTATCAATAGCAACTATGTGATTTGACAATAAAATAACTTTAGACACTTCTCGTATTCTTCTTTTTAGGTAACATAAAATCAAGAAAGACAGAAGTGGACCAGTGTGGTTTGTTGAGTTATTACTCACAAGAATTTATGAAATATGTAATAAAAGTGATTAAATGTATGCAATAATTACGGATTAAAAAAGTAATTATGGTTTTGTAAAATATGTCCGGCGTTGAAGCGGCTTACTTCTTTCACTTTAAACCATTTCTTGAGTTATTGAAAATTACTTTTTCATATAATATTAAATCCTGTTCGTCTGATATCTCATCTGGTAGATTGTGTACTCGTATATACTTCGTTAGTTTCAACGGTGTTACATCTATATCTATATGTACATTGTATATATACGTACCAAGTACAAATACATAGATGTACGTGTATATATAATAAGAAAATTTTAGAGATTTATTCCTTTTTTTCCAAGATCGACAGACTCCATCATTGACAGGGGCTTTAAAAGAAAATTATTTAGTCAATATAAAATGGTATACATCGGTGACAATTATATAAAGATGTAACAAAAAAAAAACAGTTTGATTGACATTTACAAAAAAATTACAAGAATAAAAACTAAGTTCATTATCAAAACCATTTAACGGCTACTTAATTTTTTTTTATATAATATTTAATATGCGTTTAATCATCAACAAATCTGTACCCACCATAAGTATAGACTATTCAGAAATAATTGTCTTCTTTTGTTTGCGATATTATGACGTAATCAACACTTTTCAATTAATTACTTATCTAATAATGAGACTTCTATTAGATTACCGAGAAGTTTCTGGACAACAATATAAAGCTTTTATCCGTAAAATATTTGGAAGAATTTTCTTATACCTACTAATTCACAATTCATGCGAAAAACTATAAGAGTGTTATGAAACATATTCTAGGAAGTAAAAAATCAATAAATACAATAAAGATAAAATAATCAGTAAATATGAATCCAATATTGTTAGAAATTACTGTAATTGTTTAGTATTAATTGATTTGCTGGAAATATTAGAAAATACATACCGATGGGAATAAGCATTAGACTCTCCATTTATTATAAAACAAAATTAAGACTGGTCTTCCTAAAGAGCTTCAACTTTATTGACTGTTAACAGTGTAATATATTTTCTAATTATCTATATACAAGCACAAAGGAAGGCTTAAGACTTTGTTATTGATTTTAATTTATTTTATTAAGAGACGGAGATTAGCTACTCTGATTTATAAAGTACCTAAACTTTGGTTAGAATAATTAGTTGACACTGATTATAAACAAAATTTCGTATCATTAAAATATATTATTTTGCTTCAAAATGGTAGAATAATTGGTAGATTTACATATAAGCATATGTATTCACAATTTTGTTTACAGAATTAGAAATAAAATTAATATAATTCTTACCAAACTATTCATAAGAATAAATAGAAAAATAGGATAAAACAAACTTTTTTAGTCAGATTTGCTTATATCGGTACACCAAAAGTAGGAAGGTAAAAAGTTTTGTGACGATGTTTTAAAGTATTTTAAAGAATTTTTATTTGCCTACTTATTGCAAATGCATTACAATCGGTCGTGCCATAAAATTCTTAAACCCTTAGTAAGAATCGGTTGATTTATATTTTCACTCTTTTTTGTAAATAGTCAGTGTATTTTATTGATTGGTTTTAAAGAACGTTGTATTTAGCTTTTAATATGCGTCTCTCTTTAGAAAGATGGTTCCTTTCATGCATTCTCTAGCCAACACACAGGTTTGAGTTAAAAATTATAATTTATCTTGTATGCTTTATACTAACTACTCATTGCCATCCAAATTAAAATATTATTAAGTTAATCGAGTTATTTGTCTCAAATTGGAGGTGGAAGCTTATAATAATAAGCTTATAATCCGCAAATTTTTTATCATGTGTACTGGTTTATTTAAACCACACCATCCTTCATTCTAAGATAATCATTATTTTCAAATATTTATATTTACAATTTAACAAAGCAAAATTTTAAATATCACTAAGTTCCACACAATAGAATGAGATTAGGAAATCGTTCAGTTAAAATTAACGAAAGAAAAGGAGTAGCGAAAGCGAAGGAGTAACGAAAGAAAAGGAGTAGAGTATATATATATATATATATATATATATATATATATATATATATATATATATATATTTTTTATTTCATTCATTGCTTTTATTTTCCATTTTTCTACTCCTTTTCTTTCGTTAATTTTAACTGAACGATTTCCTAATCTCATTCTATTGTGTGGAACTTAGTGATCTTTAAAATTTTGCTTTGTTAAATTGTAAATATAAATATTTGAAAATAATGATTATCTTAGAATGAAGGATGGTGTGGTTTAAATAAACCAGTACACATGATAAAAATTTTGCGGATTATAAGCTTATTATTATAAGCTTCCACCTCCAATTTGAGACAAATAACTCGATTAACTTAATAATATTTTAATTTATCATCTTATATATATATATATATATATATATATATATATATATATATATATATATATATATATATATATATAGATGATAAATTTGTATTCGGTACCAATTTTTTTTACAAGTTTTTTTCAAATTGTCAAGAAATGAATTTTTTTATTTTCTTTCAGTGTAGTATTAAAAAAAATAGTATTAAAAAATATGAAGTAACATGATCCCTCATGTCATAAAACCTAAAAGTTAGACTCAATTTCTTTAAGTAATATTTAAATAATTAAATTTTGTCGATGGTCAAAAAATATATTTTATTCAGGACAAATTTATAATACCTGGAGGAGATAACTTTTAATGGTTTAATTTATTTGTTTTTTTAATAACCATCATATTTATTTTCAAAGAGTTGCCACATCAAGTGAAAAATGTGTATGATTAATATTATAACTTTTTTATACTAAGCAAAAAAATATAATTGCTTTACAGTTTTATATTCGGTAATTTGATAACATAAACTAAGGATATATTTTAATTTTGTCCTCTAAATTATTGTGAAAAAGTTATATAGATTAAGAAACTCTAACCTATCACAATTGCATTCTATTCATTTCATTAAGCAATCTATAAGGACACTCAGTATTTATATGATAATACATGTATTTCTTGTCCTCCATAGAATGTACCTCAAAAATAGTATTTATTTCACCAATGATATTGCAGTTGAAATCTCAGGCCATATTTGTTCAAATATCTTTCAATTCATTATTTACTCTTACTCATATGATTGAACGATACATTTTTTAGTTCGAATAAACTTTTAAAAGTTTATCAATTAGCGTTCTACGATTAAGAATGCCAATTATATGTGCAGACTCGAAGATAAATATTTCAGCAGAACCTCACAAGTCAAAACTTAATATCTCTCTGTTAGTCTACGTTAACAAACCCACTTAAGAACTTATCAAGATATGGACCACCAATCTACACTGTTATAAAAGTTTAACCAAAACGATGAAATGCTATGTGTTAGTAAAAACATATTACAATCTCCAACGTCGTAAGTTTAAATGATAAATATAAGTCAAACTGTAAATAAAAAATAAAATTTACACAAAAATAATGATAACATATATTTTGATATAAATATAGGATTTTTAAAAAGAGTTTTAGACTATTTTCAGTGTTCAGATTTATTCCTGTCTTCCTTAACAGCTTTGCTATGATGGCAAATAATTTCGTATTAAGAAAACTTTTATTAGAACTCTAAAACAATTCATTAATATCCTAAACAAATATGTACTGTACAGCCCGGTACAATGTCAATAAAAAAACAGTATCAATTCATTAATTTATTTTCAATTTTTAACGTACTATATAAAGTGCAATGACATAGCTACCCTAAAGACAAAGGAAAGTTTAACGTCAAATCTCAAGTTTCTTTAAGTAGATAATTCAGGTCTGCACGAATTTTTTTATTCATATTTCATACAATTAAAAAGCAAAGAATATAATTGTAATAATAATAAATATAACTTCTAATGTTAAGGGAGTCAAGATTTTGCATATAATCCAATGATAACTTTGCGTATGTTTCTTGCACTTCTAACTAAGCCTGATACAAAATAAACAGACGGAATATCGCATGTTAGATATGTGGAACATTTGCTAGCACTCGATGTTTCGTTTACTTGTTATTTATTGCAAAATGAACTGCGTGCAACATGCCCGTATTTATGGACCGTACGAGGTAAGATAACGAAATAAGATTGTATAGAATTATAGATGATAACAAATTAAAATTTAAAAAATGTCATAAGAATGATAAAATTATTTAAAAATCAATAAGCGTTTGAAAACAAAATTAAATTGTTCGGTTGTAATTCGAATATTTCTAATTATTTATTCTGCACAGCCTAAAATGATATATGTACATTTCGTTTTCATTAAAGTAGTGTTTAGTTGTTCAAGTGAGTGATCATTAGTATGTTTAAGTTGACCCATTAATAAAACTATTACTATAAACAGTTTGGAAATAATTTTTCTATGACTGTCATGTAGATTTAATTTTTTACAAGTTATTAAAGTACACCAAAAGAAGAAGAAGAAGAAGTTGTTCACATAAAATTCGCATTTACAAGTATTAAATATATTTAAAATAACAGTCGAAATAGTTTAATAGTCTTGAATACTATATTAAAAGTCTAATGGATCGCCAATATGTTTTATAAGGAACGAAAAAAAATATTTTAAATGTACCTAATTACGGAAATTACTTTGTTTATTTAGTCAATTGAAACAAAAACTAGCAGAATATATAATTTATTAATGAATTCTGTCTCAGGGGAGAGAGCATAAACAGTACGAATGAAGTACGATAAACGATTGAATTTAGTGGAAACTTTTTCTATAGTTATTATTCAAGTGCTAATTATACATCTATCAAACAGTCGTGACCAGCTTTCGAACCTACTTTAATTATTTTTTTAATTTAGGGTAAAACCGGGATAGATGCCGCGCTGGGATAGATGCCTCGTTTCTAAAAACTCTACTACCAGAGAACGAAACAGCAAAATCGTTGTTTACATACGTGCCACATGCACCCCCCGCCTCAGGGACGCGCGAGTTGTTGTGCTAGACTGACGTTTCTCGCTTGTGTGTCGAATTACATTCGCAGCGGACGCAACGAACGCTTCAAAATTTCAAAGGTAAGTATTCACTATTCCATATCTTTATAAACGGTTAAATGATTACATTTTATTTGAATTGTTTTAATACATTGGTTCTTTGAGAACACATTTAAGAGTCAATCACTGATGTTTGCATTTATTTTATTTATAAAATATTGAGAGGCATCTATCCCTAGTGAAAAGGATAGTTGCCCCGAGTTTACAAGGGATAGTTGACTTTAGGGGCATCTATCCCTCTATACTGCAAGAGCCTTATCGAAGTATTTAAAAGTCATAGTCGTGAATATTTTCGTATTTCCTAATAGTAGAATATTAGAAAACACCAAAACAATGTATCCAACTTTAATTTCATAATTCGAATGTGATGAGATGAGTGTAGATACAGTGTTTTATTTATACTTACTTTGCTTATTGTAGGTGAGCCATGCCAAGGAAATACAAAAGAAAGGAGGGCGTACGAGCTCGAGTAGTTTCTTGGACAACAGAGCAGCTACAATCAGCTTTCCATGAATTGGATAAAAAAGAATTGGGTATCAATGAAATATCCAGACGATTTGGGATTCCATCCAGAACATTGCGAAGGCGTTACGCTATTAAAAACCAAACTAAGCTAACTTTGGGAAAACATCCTGTCCTGGGTTTTGAACACGAAAAAAGGTTGGTAGCGCACATTTTGAAGCTTAGCGACGCGGGATTTCCCCCAGATAGACGAGCTATACGTACGTTAGCATACCAATTTGCCGAAAAGCTACAGATTCAACACAATTTTGATAATGAAAACCAGATGGCTGGGAATGAATGGTTCAAAAGTTTTATTGAGCGAAATCAAGAGTTGTCTATTAGGCAAGCAGAAGGCTTATCTGTCGCTAGGGCTAAAGGTCTTAGCAGAGAAGAAGTGAATAATTTTCATGAACTTCTGACAAAAGTCCTGGCCGATAATGATCTCTTGGATAAGCCTGAAAGGATTTATAATATGGACGAATCAGGAGTTCAGCTCAACAATAAGCCTGGCAAATTTGTTGCAAAGAAAGGTGCAAAAGTAGTAAATTCAGTTACATCTGTGGAGAAAGGTGAAACAATGACTATCGTAGCCTGTTGCAATGCCATTGGTAATTTTAAGCATTTTATATTACCTACACATGAAGATAATAAATAAATATTACATCGTGATTACGTGTTCTTGTTAATTATTTAAAACGGCATCTATCCCGCATCACAGGCATCTATCCTCCTAAGTGATTTCATAGTAGGGCATCTATCCATATAGGTAGGCACCTATCCCCAAAAAATGTGTTTCGCAAGAATTACATTTTTGCAAAACCAGTAATGGTTAGGTAAATAAATACAGTTTCTAAAGCTTTATGAATGATTAAACTTACTATATTACAGGGTCAATCTAAGCAAATATGTTTAGTTTTCAAATAATGAAACACTTTCGAAAAGTGGGGCATCTATCCCGGTTTTACCCTATTGAGCACTCGGTGTGGGGCTACAGTAATACACTCCTATCTTTATCTAATTTAACTTGCCACTGCACTGTTACTTTTCGATCCTAGGCTGAAACACGACTACTTGCTGACCACATATTAGATTTATTTTACACCCTTTTGTTAATTTTTGCACATAACAATTAAATAAAAGAGTTCGCTATAGATTTTATATTTTCAACAATTTAGGAATAGATCTGTTGAACAGATAAATAAGTCAAAATTGTTTAGTATACCAAAATTCAATGAATAAAATTAAATTTAAAGGTTTATAATACTGCTTTTAATTTATTTTCCTACTAGATACTATTACCAACTCTAACTTGAAGAAGTAAACGTGGGTTAAAATGAAAAAAATAAAGACGTGTAATCTGTATTTATCTGAATTGTTTTTTTTTATATATATTCATTTTGTTTATGTGGTACTCTGCCCGTACTCGATGTATCAATTCTACTTATAAACAAAATAATTAAAATAAATGAAAGAATTGGATAAAGCAGTAATGGTTACTTTATGAAACAAATCATCCTTCTTAATGACCAATTAATTTAATAACCTCAAGCTTTAGTTAAGAAGCATTCTCTTGAAAACTTATTTAAAACAATGTAGTTTTTAAAATATATCAAAACCTTTTTATAAAAAGGGATTGTTTGAGCTTTTTTAATGTTTTGCTTTCTAGTTAAAAATATCAGATTTACAATTAATTCTATGGACAAATAGTTTATATTATAGACAAAAACAATTTTTTTTATTAACACACAATGAATAGATTGGAGATAATTATAATAAAAACATTATTTATATATTTAAATAAGTCTACAATCACAACGAGTCGAAGGAAATTTTATTGTAAATAGTATATGTAACATTAATTTTATAAAATAGTTTAACCATATATGAATTTTATGTTTTTCATTTGATCAACATATAAATATATGTAGCTTAGATAAAATTTAGTATTAATATCTCTTGACCAATTATAACCATCGCTTTACTAAACCATATTAAGGGTTCAGTGTGTCTGTTAAGATATTTTAACTTTATTAAATTAAATTACTGAGAGATTCTATACCTATACGAAACGTGAAGTTGTTTAAAAAGCAAACCAGTATCAGCTGAGTTGCTCAATGAGCTGTGTTATGTCGCGAAACTACAAAAGTTACAAGTTCTTAAATAAGGTTTCAAAAATTTCAAAATTGTCCCGAGGATATGAAAAGTTTTATTTAAAATGAACTGTGTTGTATTTCACATTAAAAACATCTGTGGCCATTGTTTATGCTGAATTAAAATACTGTCTCAACATATTTCGGCTAAAGTTAGGAGAAGACCTATAACAGATTATGGTGATTTAAACTGCTATAAAAAAATTGTTTGATTTATTGATTCCAAACAAAAAAAGATTTATATATTGTGTTAACTTAATAACCTTCTATTCAACAGTTAAAAGGAAAAAATAAGGTTGTTTAAAAAAGCACATTAATAATTTTTAAGAACTGGTAAAATGGAAAAACGTTGATCTCTGTCTTTGTGTCCCATAAAAATCAACTGTCGATTTAAAACAATACATACCACTTACACATAACTTTTGAATACATTCCATTTCATATTTAACATAAACTTATTGTATTAAACAAAGTTACATGATTATTGCTACTCATGTCAATGAGGTATCCTTTGATCAATTGAAATATAATAAAATACACTGTTCTTTGTTAAAGTTCTCTTTCAGTGCTACAGAAGGTCTTTGAGGTTTACTCATAGAAAGATATCATTTTAAATAAACAATTATTATGCTTACTTCATATATATTTATATGTTTAATATTGTCCCGTAAATAGCCACTTATAGTATATTATGTATGTATGTTTAATACTGTCTGATCTACCTATTTTATTTTTATTTTACGTATAGATATTAGTTGTTTATTAATAATCCAGGTATTTAGACTACATCAATAGTTAAACTTTTACTAATAATAATGAGATCTAAGAATTCCGAGTATTCATTTCACTAACAAATATGTCATGTCATATTGAAATATTATATTTTCACAAGCTATATCCTATGGTTTTCTATCATTTAAGTCAATTTCTCTCTAATATTTATAAAAATATTAACCGTTACAAAGATTCAATCTTATATAATGTCAAAAAGAAATTTATTCGTCTCTTTCAAAAGAGGCAAGAATTATGTTCAACTGTGGAAATAATATCGTTGATGGTTGAATGATGACTGTGTATTTTAAATAAATATTTTTTTAAGAAGAAAAAAAGTATTATTAAAATATGGTAAGAATGAAATTGATAACACACTTCAAGAACATGGACGTAAGAAATTATTGTATGTAAAAGTACTAACTAATACTAATACGAGTAATACATAATAACTTTACGAAAAGAAAGTCTATTTTATTGAACCAAATATTATTTACGAACATCTTGACAAAGATATAAATGAATAAACGAACTGGCTTTTTATAATATTTATATAAAAGCAGGATAACATAGAACATCTCTTATTAATTTAGATTAGACATAATGGCATTACTTTAAGGGGAGAAAACGGGAGTAATGGATTTGTGTCCAATCAATTAACATCCTTTTACTGAGATTGTATGATTTTAATCACTACATTGACCAAATAAAACGTTGCAATGCTTTGAAGAATTAATGAAAAGAACTTGTCACCTTGAAAGATCCCTCCCTAAAGAATTTCCAATTGAATTTAATATTTTAAACTAATACAATCAAGTCTTCTAGGCAAACCTGTGTATATATATTTTCAGTACTCACACATTATTTTTTATAAAATACCAAGAGGTACAAGTAAAATTTTCAATGTTTTGACGTGGCTGACGTGGCTAGACGTGGTTTTTCACAAGATAGTATGGACATAGCGTATAAATTCAGACCCACTTAGATTTAATTAAAACTCAATAATATCTTTCTCACATATTAGGCAAACGTACAGTATTTATCAGACGTAGGGTCCATTTTTTCATGTAGAATGTGTAAATAAGTTTCCCTGGACGCAGAAGTGATAACTGATTAACCAAATTACTCCATTTTCAATCACTAGTTAACTAATGTTTATCCAAGAACGTGCGTTACCTTTGAGGCACATTGATGCACGAAACAGACACTCTGAATCACCCCTGATTGTCTCTAGTTTACCCTAACTCCATATATCTACATCGTGAATGTTTAGGTCAAATTTTAATATGAAGTATTTTGTATTCTACATGGGTTAACGGATCTAATAGAGGTGTTGATTCCGTTACTACTTAAACAGTCCGACAGATTGTTTTTCAGCTGGGTTCTTCGGGCTTGGAATCCAGTGAATAGAGAATTAAAGCGGCCCATAGATCTACGGATGTGATGTTTCAATTTCACGTGGCTTCAATTATAAATTTTCAGCAGAAGCTTAGGGTTTCGTTATATTGTGCTCTGTTGTTATTAGTCTTTTAAGTTAACTATAAATAACGTGAAGTTATAACTTCTAAAGTAATAACTTCTTATAGGTAGGTAAACCGCTTTATAATATATATGTATAAGGCGTACCGTCACCTCTATGTTTGTTTTCCATTTCTCTCACGTATCATCAATATTACACGCATGCGGCAAACGTAAACTGATTATAATAAATTTAATTTATATAATATTTAAGTTATTACTAACAGTTTATATTAGTTACAGAATTTTTATAATAAATAGTTTGACTTATCATTTCTTTCGAGCGTCTCGAACCGCACAAATTTGTTTATTTCTTCGTGAGAATTAATATAATATAATAAAAAAAAATCCTTAAAACTTGTACACTTAACAAATAGGATAGGAACAAAACACGAAGAATAATTTATTATATTGACTTAACCCATGTTAATCATTAATAATAAAAATACAAGATTTGATACCATACTCAAATTTATTTACTTATAGTGAACTTTAATCTGAAAAGACATCAATTTATTATCTTCACGATATCTCTGACATTGACCAGTGTAGGAAAATGGATGGATTTTATAGCAAATCAATGATGATAGGGTTCCAGGACTACATTGAATACAAAATTATATTTTTAAATACTTACTACATTTCAATTTTTATTGTTAGCTTCTTATATATAAAAATATTAACCTTTTACCCAATAAATATTTATAAAGTTATGAGAAGTCTTTAAAACGGGTTTGAAGTAGATGTCATTTTAAGTTATACATTAAGTTGTATTGAAACAAAGCACTTGAATAATAATTGGATATAAAAATATAGTTTCATAAAATTATTATATAGCATTCAAAAATGTATTGATGAAGCTACATAGTTTATTTTTTAGTTCGTTCGTGATAGCTTCAAAGCTCAAACAAAATCTAATTTGAACACAAAGGTGTAACTTTGAAAAAGTATACCTTTTTAATAAAATCATTGCAAAGTATGCCTTTTGAAAAAAAATATTTCAACTGTTTAAAAAATGTTATGAAACAATAAAAGTATATTAATGAATATTATTTTACTATAAGTAATAGACATGAAATTAATATTTTTTAAGTTTATGAATGAAAAGAAAGCTACAAGGAAAATATGTATGTATTAAATCATATTATTATTAATCTTTGTATTCCTCATTAGTCTTTCACATGCAATATTATAAGGAAAGTATTGTGTACCAAAATATAACTTTATTAAAACAGAAACAATAAATTCAAACCAAGATTTCTCTTTACAGTATTTTAAGTCACTCCGGATAGTACGTTATTTATGATCAACGTGTTATTAGTTCCCGCCGTATTTGATAGCAAAAGATTAATTTAACGCTCCACATATAAGATTTAAAAATGATTCCTTTTCTTTTATTATTATTATTATACTGTCATTTTACATAACAAAGTATTTTGGAAACTCAAAAAAAATACGTGATCTCTTATTAAGTTTGCAAACATCATAATCATGTTTTAAAGTTTGTACTGAATTAAGTCAAGGTGACACGAATTGTGTATGAAATTTAAAAATGATGAAAAAGCAGCTTTTGAAGCTTCACCTTCATTAGTTAGTTTGAGTCAAACAAATTTACGCTATTTAAAACAGATATTTATAATTTCTTGATTCGAAATATTATTTTTATTCTAAAGCACAGATCATAACAACAATGCACGTTTTGCTATGAAAAGTTAACCACAATATTACTTTAAAAAAAAATTAGCACACATAAATTAATAGGGCCCATTCTAAACCTATAATCTCGTAAAAGAAATACGTACATAAAAACACACTTTTAAAAAGTACAATCATCTTAAATGTGTTTTTGTTTACGTATTATTATTTTTTTGCACATAAAGTAAGTAGCTCATTTAAATTGAATTAAAGCTTTAAAAATAACACCTAAATAAAAATTACAAACATTCCAAACCGTTTCAAACTGAAATATATAATGAACAGTAGATTTCTACACGAGTTAAATGTCGAATTTCGTCTACTAAAACCTTTTGAAATTTTAATTTACAGTTTACAGTTAGTTGTATCGCGGTTGTGAAAAATATACCTGCATATATGACTATGTTTTCCAAATAACTATCTATTTTATCATTGACACACTTAAACACGAAAGCGTATGGAATTTTAAATTAAATTTGATTGTTCTCTTACCACTAAATCATGTAACGCAACTGAAGTTGCAAGAGTTTTACTACAAGTTGTATTGTCCACAAAAGATAAGAACATTTTCGAAATACTTAAGAAGTAATAATAAATAATATCGTTTTTTATAAATACATAGAATACTACATTCATAAGATTCTACTTACTTGATCGTTGCTAATAGTAACGACAGGATGAATTTATTGCTTTCATATTATGAATGGAATACTACATCAACGAGATCAGCTGCTATTAATTAGAGGACTCGCATTCCAAAGACGTTCATTTCCATTTGTACATAACTACTGACTAGTAACATTTCTAGCAATATTACTAGTCTATATTTATAGTGCATAAAAGGTTATTAAATCACTTTTTTAAACTATCTAACTGTTGTATTAACCAAATTAAAATAATTTAAGTTATAAAAATAATATTAAGTAAAAACAGGAAACGAATAAAAATAACTTTTATAAAATTATCTGAAAAAACTAAGTAACAGTAAAGAATATTTATTAATTAATAATTAATTAAACATTAAATTAAAATTAATTATTATAAAATTTCATGTAAAATACAAATTAATAGTAATATAATATAACTTTGCGAAAAGAAAGTCTATTTCATTGAACAAAATATGTATTATTTACAAACATCTTGACAAAAATATAAATGAATAAAAGAACGGGCTATTTATAATATGCATCTTTATATATATCATTCTTCTGTGAGTGTGTATGTCACTGAACTTCTCTCAAACGACTGGACCGATTTTGATGAAAGTTTTTGTGTGTATTCAAGGGGATCTGGGTATGGTTTAGATTCACAATTTTGATCCCTGGACAATGTTTTATAATTAATTTTTAATTTATTAGTAGTTGTTGATACAAACGTTTTTTTTTTTTTGGACCATACATTTGACAACTACCTAATATGTCAATCATTCTGTCATCATTCTCAAAACACGGAGATTTATGGTTTTAATAGGTAAACTCCAAAAATATAAATAAAAAAAAAACGCAACAGATATTTCTTGATTATAGGGCGATACGAAGTTCGCCGGGTCTTCTAGTATATATTTAAATTTCTTAACCTTCTAAAATTACATTCAATTTTGTTCCTACTAAATAATAAGTTCTAAAATCCTACGAAAATTATTAATAACTTATACAATTTAAGGATGATAACTAACATTGTGGAAGAAAATGCTTCGGTGGATTTATTTAAAATTTAAGAAAAAAGAGAAATATTAACATTAAAGTGATGCCCTCTAATTTAAATGCATACTTCCTGAATTAATCATCATAAGACGAACCATTAGGCATGTCAGGTTACAAGAAACTGCAGACGACGGTTACATTCTATTTAATTTTAATCTGAATCAAGTTAAATATATATGCTCTTGTAATTCCAATGATCATATGAAGATACAAAAAATACACACTTAAAAAGTAAACGAAAATCGAAATAAATATTTATAGATAAAACTAAACCAATCAATCATGAGAAAATTGAAATAGAACAATCCATCCAGGAGATTGCCAATCCTGTTAAGTTTATGTGCTTTTGAATAAACCTGCATGAACACAGAAAATTGAAAAAAGAGTTTAAAATGATTTTAAAGTCTTGTTTAACCTATTTTATTACGAATTTATATGTGGAAAATTTTTAATATTAAAATCAAAACGCATATACCTTAATATTTATTTATGAAAACCTATCAAATCACTAATGGCATGTTTAATAGAATTTTATTTTTCAGAAAAAGCCCGCCGAATTAAACACAGCAACTGATATTTTTTTCTGTGCTTAAATAGACTCAGTATTCTACATACAGTTATAAAAAAATTAATTTAAAAAACCAACTAAATGAAATCCTTGTATCGCAAGTTCGATTACATTACATTAAAATATACTTTTAGAAATTTCGTTTCTTTAATTATTTCAATTCCTAATTATAGTTAGACATGTATATTTATACCAGTTATTTTAAGTGCTCAATAAAGAAAGACCATCAAAATATAATTTTGAAATTATGTTAAACATTTATTACATTCTAAAATAATACGTATATATATATTTACTATTCAACGTATAGTATAGGTTACGACCTGTGGCTAAATTGTAAAACTATGGACAATGGTAATTTTATGCTGAAAGCGTAAATATTTACCAATTTTAATAACAATTGATATTGTAACTTATAGCAAATGTTATGATACTCGTATTAACATATAAAATGTTATTGCTAATGTCTATCTTTTTCACTTTTTCAGTAAATATTACTACATTTTGTAGATGTATTAAATTACAAATACTGAAGTTATTTCTATACAGAGCAATTAAATGAAAAATTCCATATAATGCACATTACAATGGCATTCAAATCACAGTATAAGATAAACATAACAATTTAACTTTCGTTTCGCGATAACATTATAAAGGCTTATGTTGATTTACATTGCTAGCCAAAAATCATGTTGAATTTATTTTTTAAAAAATTTTAAATGTTTGCTGAATTAATGTAATTGAAGGTCTCGTCTGTGTTTGGCATTGAAAATTGATGATACAATATTATTAACTCTTTGATATTTATTAAATTAAAAACGTCACCTATTGTAAATGATCTACTGTGATCGAAAAAACAGTAAATAGGAAAATTATTTACGATACTCCAAATGATTAGATGTTTGAATAATTATTAAACTATATAAAATATAATAATTTTGTACTAAAGATAAGTTGTTTTATATACATTTATACATGCTCATAAGGATTTAACTCTTGGTTTAGGATTTTAAGCCCCTCGAGTATCCTTCAATAAACTCAAATAAAATATAACAATTTATATGGCAGTCATTCAATGGATTTGTTATATAATACATCGGCTGCAAAAGTACTTAGAGGTTCAGCTCAAGAAAAGAACCCTAGTCATAGGTCCCGAGATATATTTTATATTTGGTATACACTTAGGAAATATTCATACCTATATTATAAGAATGATGAACATTTGACGAATAAAATGATATATTTTAAATACAACTACTTGACTACTTGAATATATAACTGAATGCAAAATCTAACTTAACTGTCTATTAGTGCACTGTATTTTTTCTCTTCTATAACTGCAAACAGTTTTCTTGCTACTGAAAGGAAAGGTTTGTTAGAAAAATAATACTTAAAGTGTTTTTTATCAATCTATGATATTATTTAATATATATGCGAAAATATTAACAGCTCAAACGATCAAATCTTGTAATATATCAAACAAACATTTCTTTGTCTTCTTCAAAAGGGAAAAGATCTATATCCTGCTGTAGAAATATTTCAGCTGATGGATGAATTATAAATATTTATCTAATGGTTATTATTGTGATTCTAAGAGATAAATATAGGAAATTACAATACTAACAACTAGATATGTCATAGAAAACTAAAAAAATTCACTAAAAGAAAACTAAATAAATTGTACAACATTATTATTGCATCAATTATTTCCAGTGCCCGTTCAATAACTTAATAAGTGTAACAAAATATGTAAGTGTGCTATTGTTTTGATGCAGAGAGGCTTTAAATACCACAGCCAATCTAACTAGAAAACCATAAATAATAGTTACTTTTGGTCACAAAGAAATTCTTCCCATTTCTTTATAGAAAAAGGAAAGGCAATGTATAAAAATGTGACCTATAATTTCCTCCGAAAAAATAATTAGTTTTCGTATAGAGCAAATAATTGCTATAAAATTTCGTTTATGTCGTCATCGTCATCGGCCTATCATAGCCCACTGCTGAGCAAAGGCCTCTTCTCACGTGGAGAAGGTTTGAGCATGAATCACCACGCTTGATCAAGACGGGTTGGTGATTTATATATGAAATTATAAGTCGACGATTTCTCACGATGTTTCCCTTCACCGTTTGTCAGTGGTGTCTAAATACTCTTAGTAAGTACATATAACTCGGAAAAATCACATTACTACTTGCCAGGATCGAACCCGCGCCTTCGAGTACGAGAGACGGGCCTTTAAGCACTAGGCCACTAGTGACTTACGTTTATGTCAAAATTTATGAATTCTTATTGGTAAAACGACTACACGATTTTGTTTAGGAAACCATTTTAACATAGTACTGATTTTATAAAAATAGATCAGACGATTCTTGTAGTGTATTATTTCATTTTTGAAAAGAGCCAAAGTTGTGTGTTAGGAATTGAAAGTTTGTTAACAGATATTGCATCATTGTGTTACCGATGCAGCCATTATCTAATTGTAAAGATATTTATATTTTACTGAATTTAGGCCTTAACCCATTATACCAACGAATCCCATCTGTGCCCCACAATTTTATCGATTAACAACTTTTATTAACAATGATCTAATGACCTATTCACTTCACATCTAACTTTCAATCAATTCTTTTATTCTACTATTTTGGACTCCCCCCCTCCCCCAGTATACACAACAAACCCAAAAAAAAATTACTCTAACTATATGCACCACATTGCTATGAAAAGTTAACCACAATATTATAAAAAAAAATATGGCACATAAATTAATAGGGCCCATTCTGAACCTATAATGTAGTAAAAGATATATATCGTACATAAAACCACACTTTTAAAAAGCACAAATATCTAAAATGTTATTTTGTTTACGTATATATTTTAATTTTACATTTAAATTGAGTTAAAACTTTAAAAGTAACACCTAAATAAAAATCACTTACATTCAAAACCGTTTAAAACTAAATTATATAATAAACGGTAGATTTCTACACGAGCTAAATGTGTAGTGTCTGTTAAAACCTTTTGAAACTTAAATTTACAGTTTACAGTTAGTTGCATCGCGGTTGAGACAAATATACCTGCGTACATATACGACTAGATTTACCAAATAACTATCTATTTAATCCTCGATAGACACTTAAGCACGAAAGCGTATAAAATTTAAAGATTTCTGATAACAAAAAGTTATGGTAGTAATCAATGAAATTAAATTGTTCTCTTACCACTAAATCATGTGACACAACTGAATTTGCAAGAGTTTTACTTTCAGTGGTACTATCCCCACAAGACACGAGAACATTTTTGAAATATTGTATAAATAAAAGATAAATACATACTATGTTTTTTTATAAATACTTAGAATACTACATTCATAAAATTTTATTTATTTGATCGTCGTTAAGAGTAACGACAGGATGAATTTATTGCTTTCATATTATGACTGGAATACTTCATCAACAAGATTGGCTGCTATTAATTAGTGGACTCGCATTTCAAAGACGTTCATTTCCATTTGCACATAACTACAGACTAGCAACATTTCTAGTAATATAAGTAGTCTATATCTAAGAGCTAAAAAGTTATTAGATAACTTGTTTAATACTATCCAAATGTTTTATTAACCAAATTAAAATATGTAATATAATATTAAGGAAAAACAGGAAAAGAATGAAAGGTTCTCAAACTTATTAAAAATATAATATCATAATAGTATAAAATAGTACTATAAAATATTGCATATTTTTAAGACACAAAATTATTTGAACAAATGAAATAAAAGTAAAGAATTAATGATTAATTAAACATTGAATGAAAAAAATACGTACTAATTATTATTTATAGTGATACGAGTGATAATAAATATGCGAAAAGCAAAGTCTATTTTACTGAACAAAATATTATTGACAAAAATATAAATGAATAAAAGAACGGGCTATATTTATAATATATACACATATAAAGACAGGCTAACATAGAATATCTCTTATTAATTTAGATTAGACATAATGACATTACTTTCAGGGGAGAAAACGAGAGTAATGGATTTGTGTCCAATAAATTAACATCCTTTTACTGAGATTGTATGAGTTTAATCACTACATTGACCAATTAAACCATTGCAAAAGCTTTGAAGAATGAATGAAAAGAACTTGTCGCCTTAAAAAATCCCTCCCTAAAGAATTTCCAATTTAATTTAATATTTTAAACTAACACTATCAAGTCTTCTAGGCAAACCTGTGTATATCTATTGTCAGTGCTCACACATTATTTTTTATAAATACCAGTAGGTACAAGTAAAATTTTCAATTTTTTGTAAGGGTTCTCATATCTCTCCAATTGACGCTTTGATGTACCTATACTCAAAAGTAGGAGTGACCAGGGAGATGGTGTTTGGATTTTCGCTTATAGGAGATAGGGGGTCTGCAGAATGGTCCTCACCTGGAGATTTGGACGCTAGACGTAGTTTTTCATAAGATATCATGGATATGAAGTATATACTCAGACCCACTTAAATTTAATTAAAACTCAATAATATCTTTCTTACATATTCGGCAAACGTACAGTATTTATCAGATGTAGAATGCATTTCTCCATGTAGAATGTTTGTGGAAACCAAGCAGAATGTTTGTGTGTTTGCCTGGACGCAGAAGTGATAACTCATTAACCAAATTACTCCATTTGCAATCACTAGTTAACTAACGTTTAGCCAAGAACGTGCGTTGCCTTTGAGGCACATTGATGCACGAAACAGACACACTGAATCACCCCTGATTTTGTCTATTTTACCCTCACTCCATATCTACATCATGAATGTTTAGGTTAAATTTTAATATGAATTATTTTATATTCTACATGGGTTAACGGATCTAATAGAGGTGTTGATTCCGTTACTACTTAAACAGTCCGACAGGTAGTATTTCAGCTGGGTTCTTCGGTCTTGGAATCCAGTAAATGTAGATTTAACGCGGCCATAGAACTACGGATGTGATGTTTGAAATAACGATTCCATTGCTTAAAGTTATTTTTAGATAAATTGTACTATAAATCATAAACAATTTAAAATAACATTACGCACGCTATAATCTCTAGTACATATATGTTAGTACATTTCATTACAATAAAACCACATTTTTCGTTGATGCTATACACTTTGACTAGTTTAAATAGAAAAGAGGTACTTTTAAATATATATGTACTTCTGTTGAAGCAGCTGTTTGCTGCATGCACTTCTTGTCAAAGACAATTACTTCATTCTTTTATACTACGTTACACCACTTAAAGTAATTGCACTATTATCCCTATCTTACTACTAATGCAGATATAGATAGAATAATAGATAGAGATTTTTTTCAATACTAATATTAAATAAGGAATACCTAAATATGTAGTTTGAACCTGTCAAGACTATTTAAAATATAAATGAATAAAAGAACGGGCTATTTATAATATGCATCTTTATATATATCATTCTTCTGTGAGTGTGTATGTCACTGAACTTCTCTCAAACGACTGGACCGATTTTGATGAAAGTTTTTGTGTGTATTCAAGGGGATCTGGGTATGGTTTAGATTCACAATTTTGATCCCTGGACAATGTTTTATAATTAATTTTTAATTTATTAGTAGTTGTTGATACAAACGTTTTTTTTGGACCATACATTTGACAACTACCTAATATGTCAATCATTCTGTCATCATTCTCAAAACACGGAGATTTATGGTTTTAATAGGTAAACTCCAAAAATATAAATAAAAAAACGCAACAGATATTTCTTGATTATAGGGCGATACGAAGTTCGCCGGGTCTTCTAGTATATATTTAAATTTCTTAACCTTCTAAAATTACATTCAATTTTGTTCCTACTAAATAATAAGTTCTAAAATCCTACGAAAATTATTAATAACTTATACAATTTAAGGATGATAACTAACATTGTGGAAGAAAATGCTTCGGTGGATTTATTTAAAATTTAAGAAAAAAGAGAAATATTAACATTAAAGTGATGCCCTCTAATTTAAATGCATACTTCCTGAATTAATCATCATAAGACGAACCATTAGGCATGTCAGGTTACAAGAAACTGCAGACGACGGTTACATTCTATTTAATTTTAATCTGAATCAAGTTAAATATATATGCTCTTGTAATTCCAATGATCATATGAAGATACAAAAAATACACACTTAAAAAGTAAACGAAAATCGAAATAAATATTTATAGATAAAACTAAACCAATCAATCATGAGAAAATTGAAATAGAACAATCCATCCAGGAGATTGCCAATCCTGTTAAGTTTATGTGCTTTTGAATAAACCTGCATGAACACAGAAAATTGAAAAAAGAGTTTAAAATGATTTTAAAGT